GCATTAAATATATATACTTATACACCACCGTGTATTTTAGCTCTCCCACTCTATTTGTAATCTCTTTCACAATCCCTGTAAACACTGCAAATTATAGTGAATTGTTTCTCGGCTTCCTCCGCCCGTGGTTTTTTCCCGATTTGGGTTTCCACGTAAATTCATGTGTCTCTATTCTATTTATTTTATTCGTATTACGTTGTGATTATTACGCTTTGATAATTTTTGATCCCATTCCGCATTGAGCTAATATTATTTAAGTCAATTCGTATCCGTCGTATTTTACAACAGACGATCGAATAGAATCTAACTCTAAAAAATCGAAGCATGCAATTGGGAATGAAGGAAAGAAAGATGTTCTACAGGTGTTATTGGAGCTCATGGATCAAAAAGATGGAATATCAATTAACCGGACTCAAATAAAAGCACTCATCCAGGTAATCAGTATATATTCAGTAGTCTTTAATTTTAATTATGTCGAAAGTCAGAGATGATACTCTTTCCAAATATCGATCACTCAGAGATAGATCCAGCAACATGAAAAAGAACACGTGCGAGTCAACCCTTTTTTATTTACATCGATAGGCAAAATGTCATGATCAATATGGATGAACTTTTGTTGTATCAGGACATTATGGTGGCAGGAACAGAAACTACGACAACGTTGATAGAGTGGGCAATGGCAGAGATCATGCAAAATGATGACATAATGAAAAAGGTTCAACAAGAATTAGAAGAAATCGTAGGACTTGACAACATTGTCGAAGAATCTCATCTCCCCAAACTACAATACCTAGATGCAGCTATTAAGGAAACATTTTGGTTGCACACAGTAGTCCCTCTCATACTCCCATGGTCGCCAAGCCAGGATTGTATTGTAGGAGGATACACCATTTCAAAGGGTTGTACAGTGTTTCTGAATGTTTGGGCAATCCATCGGAATCCTTAATATTGGGAGAATCCATTAAAATTCAATCCAGAGAGATTCTTGACAAACAAATGTGATTTTAATGGAAGCAATTTAAACTTCTTCCCATTTGGATCAGGGAGAAGATCATGTCCTGGTATTCCATTGGCAGAGAAAATGCAAATGTATATCTTGGCTTCGCTCTTGCACTCATTTGACTGGAGTTTGCCGGAGGGTGAAGAGCATGACCTTTCCGAAAATTTTAGCCTTACACTAAAGAAAAGAGAACCACTCATCGCTATCCCATCACAAAGGTTGTCCAACGTAAGCCTTTATATGTAAGCTCTTTGTTATGTTGATCAAATGCACTGTACCAATTTCTAGTTTCAACTTTTATTGGGTGTATGAGTAGTGAATAACTTTGGTTCTATCGGTATTATATTGGTTAATTTAAAAATAATTAAATATAAAGGTTAAAATATTTTAGAATTTTGAATTTTGAAAAAAATAAGAAAAATAATAAATTATTATAATTGAAATGTTTTTTATCTTTTAAATTTAAATAAATAAACAAAAAAAAACTAATGAACTTTAATTTGTAAATTTTGAAATTAAAATGTAAGTTTATTAATGAAATTGATATCCATTTATTATTATATTTATTGCAATTATTATATTAAAATATTATTTGAATTTAATAAAATATAAGAAATCATTAAATGACATATGAAAAAAAAATTAATTCAAAATAACCATAAAATAACATTTGACAATTTGAATCAGAGTTTGACATGTGGCAAAAAAAAACCTTCATTTATTAGAGAATATAAAACTTACAACTCTTTTATGTGTGTCATAACTCATAATACATATTTCATGTAGATTACACTACTAATTAGGGGTGTAATTGGTACGGTATCAGGTATTTTTTTCCCGAATCGTGTACCGTACCAATTATAATTGGTATGTAATTTTAGTTACCACTACCGTACCAAGTACAGTTGGTACCCACTTAATTGGTTACCAGTAAGTTCGGTTGGTACATGTTAGTAATGGTATATACCAACATGTATGAGTGTTTTACGAATTAAGATTTATATGATATTGTACACTTAAAAGATACATGTGAGTTTTGTAAATAAGAGTTTTCTGAATGGCTGGATTGGAAATTCGATACAAAAAAGATTTTATAATTTTGTACCATGAGTTTATACTAAACAATAGAGTAAATGGGATATGTTAATATGAGTTTAAACTTTAAAAGTTACTAGACCGTAAATGCTAATATCAAAGCACTTGAACTCTTAACCGTCAAATACATTTAAAGTTAAAATATACAATATTTTATTTATATGAAAAATAAATTGGTTGGTACGGTAATACCGTGACATTTAAAACTTTGTACCATTACCGTACCATTATTAATTAATTGGTACGGTACTACCAGCCAAACATGTTGGCCTCAATATAATTGGTTCGGTTGGTACACATGTTGGTTGGTTTTCCATTGTACATATTTGCCACCCCTACTACTAATGAAAAAACTTAGTCAAATAATACCCAAAAAAATCCTGTTTTAAGGAATATAATAAATAGGATTTGTTTGTGGTATATCACAAAATTTTTAGGTTATAAGACCCAGTTCCAAAATTGACAACCTCTTTTTGTTGGTGTCAGTGGTGGCCTTAGGTGTGTGAGTCGTGCGGCCCTACGGAGCCTTCAATTTTAAGGGACCTCTAAATTTAGAGACAATACATAGTACTGGTGTTAGAAATTTTATAAAATACATTTTAATGTGTTGTTATTTAAAAATATTAATATTTAGCTATATACACAATGTAACATTTGGTTGCAATCTTAAAGTAACGTTAATTATGAAAAAAGAAAATCAACGAAAAAAAAAAACAAAATCTTATCATAATTTCTATAATCTATAAACAATTTAAGGAAAATATCTATATAAAAAATATATATGTTTCTAATATAAGTTCAATCAAACATTATAGTTTTTATAAAACTCACTAAAAGATAAAACCCTAATAATGTTAATAACGGTGCCAATAGATCGTCGATGTTGGTCGTCTCTCTCGTCGGAAACAACTGTTTTCTGTCTTGAATCTTGATATCCCGTTGAGTTTGTGGTAGTCGTCTTGTTCTCCTCTAAGTCCTCCGATTGACTCCTTAACTAAAAGTTAGTATCTTTTATCTTTTTATAATTCCCTAAATCTCAACCGTGCTTAACTTCTTTCTCTCCTCAGATAAATGCTCATTTTCATTTAAATAATTTATTTATAAACTCATAATGAAGTAGAGAAAGCAAAAAAAACTAATGTTCTTGGTTTGTAGCTTTAGCTTTTCAATGTTTTGGTATAAAGGGGTCATATAATATAGTGTCTGGTCAATTGTGTCACTCTATCATGCTTTATAGCTTTAGCTTCTCGATGTTTGGAATAAAGGGTCCATTAGCAGATTTTATGGTAGAGGTGGGGGAGGGGTATAATGGGCTTCCCATTTTTTTGGCTTCTAGTATTAATATAATATAGTCTAATGCTTGCAAATGTTAGAAAATAAAATTTTTTTATGCTTTAACTTTTTTAACATTAACTTTTTG